GGCTGGTGTGGCTGTTGGTTGAGCATCATCCCATGCACTGAAGGGTCACCAGTTCCATTCCCAGTCAGGGCATGTGCCCAGGTTTTGGGTTCAGTCCCTGGTCAGGGTGCATATGGGAGGCAGCTAATCAATCTCTCTCTCTCTCTCTCTCTCTCTCTCTCTCTCTCTCCCTAAATATAAATAAAAACATATTTTTTTAAAAGTAGCATTTTCAAGAAATAGAGGGATCATATCTCAACATAATATAGGCCATATTTGAAAGACCTACAGCCAACATCATACTCAATGGGCAAAAATTAAAAGCATTTCCCTTAAGAACAGGAACAAGGCAAGGATGCCCATTTTTGCCACTCTTATTTAACATAGTACTGGAAGTCTTAGCCACAGCAATCAGACAGGAAGAAAAAGTAAAAGGAATCCAAATTGGGAAGGAGGAAGTGAAACTGTCATTATTCGCAGATGACATGATACTATGTGTAGAAAACCCCAAAGACTCCATCAAAAATTTACTAGACTTAATAAATGAATTTGGCAAAGTAGCAGGATACAAAATTAACGTCAAGAAATCAACGGCATTCTTATACACCAATGATGAACTCACAGAAAGAGAAACTAAGAAAACAATCCCATTTACCATCGCAGCAAAAAAATTAAGATACCTAGAAATAAACTTCACCAAAGAAATAAAGGACCTATTCGCAGAAAACTACAGATCATTGAAAAAAGAAATAGAGGAAGATATAAAAAAGTGGAAGCACATACTTTGTTCATGGATTGGAAGAGTCATTATTAAAATGTCCATACTACCCAAAGCAATCTATAAATTCAATGCAATACCCATCAAAATACCAACGGCATACTTCACAGAACTAGAACAAATACTTCAAAAGTTCATATGGAACCAAATAAGACCTCGAATAGCCACAGCAATCTTGAAAAAGAAGAACAAAGTTGGAGGAATCACATTACCAGATTTTGGGTTATACTACAAAGCCACTATAATCAAAACAGCCTGGTACTGGCACAAGAGCAGACATATAGACCAAAGGAACAGAACAGAGAACCCAGAAATGGACCCAAGGCAATATGCTCAATTAATATTTGACAAGGGTGGCAAGAGCATACAGTGGAATCAAGACAGCCTCTTTAATAAATGGTGTTGGGAAAATTGGACAGCTACAGGCAAAAAAATTAAACTAAATCATCAACTTACACCATATACTGTACAAGAATAAACTCCAAATGGATAAACGATTTAAATGTGACTCATGAATCCATAAAAATCCTAGAAGAGACTGTAGGCAACAAAATTTCAGACATTATATGTAGCAGAATTCTCACTGATACATCACCTAAGGCAACAGAAACAAAGGAGAAAATGAACACATGAGACTACATCAAACTCAAAAGCTTCTGCACAGCAAAAGATACAATCATAAAATGGAAAGGCAACCCACTGTATGAGAGAGCATAACTGCCAATGATATATCAGATAAGGGGTTAATTTCCAATATATATATAGAGTGCTCATACAACTCATCAAAAGGAAGACAAAGAACCCAATTAAAAAATAAGCAGTGAAATTAAATAGACACCTCTTCAAACAGGACATACAAATGGCTAAGAGACATATGAAGAAATGCTCAACATCACTAATCATCAGAGAGATGCAAATTAAAACAACAATGAGGTATCACCTCACACCTGTCAGAATGATCACCATTAACAAATCATCAAACAACAAGTGTTGGCGAGGGTGTGGAGAAAAGGGGACTCTAGTGCACTGCTGGTGGGAATGCAGACTGGTGCCGCCACTATGGAAAACAATATGGTGTTACCTCAAAAAATTAAAAATTGACTGCCATTTGATCCAGTGATCCCACTTCTAGGAATATACCCTAAGAAGCCTGAAACACCAATCAGAAAGAATATATGTACCCCCATGTTTGCAGCACTATTTACAATAGCTAAGATCTGGAAACAGCCCAAGTGTCCATCAGTAAACGAATGGATAAAAAAGCAGTGGTACATACACACAATGGAGTACTATGCAGCTGTAAGAAAGAAAGATCTCTTATCCTTTGAGACTACATGGAGGGACCTGGAAAGTATTATTCTAAGCGAAACACGCCAAGCAGAGAAAGACAAATATCACATGATCTCACTTATTTGTGGAATATAATGAACATAACAGTCTGAGGAATGGGGTAGTCCCAGAGACGTGGAAGTGGGGTACAGACTGACAATCCCCTGAAGAAGGGGTTGGGGGGAGAGATAAACCACAGAACTGATATGCATGTATGCATACACAATGGACATGGACAACAAAGGTGGGGACAGGGTGGGGAGGGCGGGAGAGGGGGGAATCAGTGGGGGGAAAAGGAGAAACATCTGTAACAAAAATAAATTAATTTTAAAAAGTAGCATTTTCAATACTCTTTATTAAAAAAATATTTTTTTCTTAATTGATTTTAGAGAGAAAGGAAAGGAGAGGGAGAGATAGAAACATCGATGAGAGAGAACATCAGTTGGCCGCCTCCTGCACACCCTCCTCTGGGGAACTGGCCCACAACCTGGGCACGTGCCCTGACTGGAATTGAACTGGCTACCTCTTAGTGCATGGGTCGACACTCAACCAGTGAGCCACACTGGCTGGGCACATTTTCAATACTCTTAAACTTTGAGGCAACCTTGTCTAAACAGAGAAGGTACAATTTATCTGCAAATAACTTTTAAACGACTGAGGTTTTGATCACAGGTGTAGTTTTGGTATTCATGTATTATCCACTCTGGGGAAATGTACACTCTCCTAGAGGTGTAAAATACTGGGGTGGAAAGGGGGAGGAGAGCAAAAAGATTGGTAGGGGAAAAGTATTATTTTCTTAGCATTTTCTTACTTGCTCACTCTCATTCTTTCAGATCTCAGTTTGTGCAAAACTTGATCCTTTATGAATAAATAAACATAGTTACACCTAATTTTGATATTCACAAAATTATCATTAACTTTGGAGCTATAATTATAAAATCAAATTTATTCTTTCAAAACTTCCACACTCCTAACTGTACTTAATCTCCTAAAAACACTTTTCATTGATTCAATATGTTGCTTTTCTAGTAAAATTCTAAATTCAGGTAAATATAATATTGAAAAGTGCACAAATCCTAAGTGTATTTCTCAAAGAATTTCAAGTAAACACACCCCTGTACCACTCCCTAGACCAGGAAAAAACCATTATCAGCACCCCCCAGAAGTCTGTTACCATCCCTTTAAGGTGACTACTATCCTCACTTCTCCCACCATCAATTACATTTTGTGCTTTTGAACTTGATAGAAAATGGAATCATGTAATATGTCTGGCTTATCTGGCTTCTTTCTCTCAACATTGTGTTTGAGATTCATCCATGCTTGTATAGCAGTTGTTTGTTCGTTTTGATTGGACATGAAATGGAATGTAAGCTATTCCATTGTTCGGTTTGCAGAATGTATTCCCCTCTGGTTTAATTTTCCTTTCAACAGGGAGCTGACCCAGTTGAATTGGGAGAGTTGTTTACATCAAGCACACAGTAGAATGTGGCACGGATCAGAATTACAGAATCCTTGAGTTGGAAAGGAACTTTATTTATTTATTTATTTATTTTATTTTTATTTTTTTATCCTCACCCGAGGACATTTTCCCATTTTTTGTACAGATAGAGTGGGAGAGAGAGGAAGAGAGAGAGGGAAACATCGATGTAAAAGGGACACATCGAGTGGCTGCCACCCACATGACCAACCAGGGCCAGGGACAAACTGCAACCGAGGTACATGCCCTTAGCGGAAACCGAACCCGGGTCTCTCCGGACCGCAGGCGGACGCTCTAACCGCTGAGCCAAACGCTGGAAAGGAACTTTAAATGACATCTAGACATCTCCACATTCCTATCAAAATTGGGTAACAGTTCAATTATTCCTTCTAAACATCACTCTGGTCAGATTACTTTACATTCTGTTAAAAGGCATCCAAAGTTCTTTTTCTGGAATTTAGTCTTCCACAATCCTGCTCCACCATCCCTCACCAGGCAGGTTTTGTATTCCTCCCCTCCTCCAAGGTGCTCTGGGCTGGGCCTGCCATCTGGTGGCAGCTCCAGGGATTGGATGGACCCTTGGCGTCTCATCTGTAGGCCTGTGTCGAACTCTTTTTCTTTGCCCTTCTGCTAGGGTGAGCCCGGCTCTCAATCTCTTTTTCATGAGTATTTTCTTTAACCTCATTCCCTAATCCTATTTCTCACACTGTTCTTAAGAAATCATCTCTCCTTGTCTTTTCCCCTCCTGTATGGCAGGAGGGATTGTAAAAAAGAAAAAACGACATCCTGAAAGGATACTGCCCATCCATCTCTAAAATGCCTGTGTTCAAGAGGGCTCCTTCAGAAATTTCTGTCAACTAACCATTCTCATGCTAGAGCTGATTTTTCTCAGAACTAGTGTTCAATGATTTTTTTAAAAATGACTCACATCACAGCAATATTGCTTTTTCATATCCAATGTACAATTCAGTCCTTTCATGGGTTACTTTTCCTTTTTTCTGTATTTCTAAAGTTTTCTAAAGGAATGTGTTGTGAATATAAATGGGAAATATAAAAGATGTTATTTAGAAAAGGAGAGGGAAAAAAGGAGCTTTGTGGCACAGAGGAAGTTTGCTTTTTTTCTTTTACTTTATCCTTTTATGATTTCATACTTCTCCAAGTTTTCTTTAAAAAGCATTATTTTTAATATAGAGAGAAAATACAATAAATGTCATTTTAAAGGGGAAAATGGGGGCATTATGATAAATAGGACCATCAGAAAGGTGGTTAAAGTAGGAGGTGGGACAGACAAGCTGTTGGACATAAACTCCTGGTAACGGATCCTGACTTTTTATTGTTGGTGGCTCTGTAAGGAGTTCCATGACTCCAGGAACCACGTCTGTCTTGAGTGTTATTTGACCTCCTTGGTTTCATGGTGATTCTCATCTTCCTGAGCAGAAGCAGGCAATGGGGCAGACTGATACCTGGAGAAAGACTAACTTTGCCCTGCAGTTTATTGAGGTCCTCTTAACTGCGAATTCCGAGTACACAGTGGAGACAGAGGATGAGAGTTTTCTTTCAATCCCGAAACACATTATATACCAGCTCAAACATCTCTACCACCAGTTGAAACGGAAGAGTGGCCAGGTACAGGGCAGCAAGGTTTGGCTTCCCAATGGAGAGAGTGAAATTTAAACTTCTCAAAAGGCTTTTGAAGGTCAGCCTGGGAATCTGTTTGCTTGTAGCTGTTCTCTTCCTCTGACAGACTACATTCATTTATTCAGCAAACATTTATTAAGTGCTTAGCTCTGTACAAGGCACTGTTTTAGTTATATGTCAACCTAAGAAATAGCTCCTGACCTCCAGGTGCTTACAGTCTAGAAAGGGAGATAAGGCATGCAAGCAAAAACTATCCTACAGGATCATTACAGTTTTAGCAATCCAACTAATAAGTGCAGAAAAAGCGACCTCACATGCTGTGCTGCAAGGAATTGCATTGGAGTGGCAACAAAGGATTTGAAATGTGTATGTCGCCTCTACTTAGATGCCCAGGGCATCAGATACACAGGAAATATTCAAGCAAAATGATTACAATTACTTTTATACTTAGAATAAAATATTTTCAAAGAAAACAATCCGTGTTGTTATAGCAGTGATCTGACTATAAATTGTTATAAATATCACTATTGCATTTTCTCACTCTTCTATGTCACATTAAAGGTCTTCTTTTAAACAAGAAAATATTTGGTAGCACATAAAAGCTTTTCCATCATACTACACTAAAATAGAACTTTACATTTATCGAACAAACAAATAGTGATGAGATGTTTTCTGCTCTCCTTTCCTTCTCAATCTCAGGAAAAACTGATAGACTCTCTTAGCAAAAAAATTAATCAAGTATACAGAGTCTGCATCGGAGATGATGAGGTTGGTAGCCTCAACCCGATCCAAAAGCTGGTAAAAGTAGAGTCTCGCCTGGTGGAACTGAGTGACCTCATTGAAGCCATTCCCAAAGAAAATGTGGAGGCTATTGAGAGGATGAAACAGAAAGAACGACGGCAAAAGTACAATGTCTTATATAAGTGTAGTGAATGACTTAATGAGTAGCTGTTTTTGCTTAGATACAACATTTAGCAGGTTTCTATTATATGGCAAGGATGGCCACAGAGACACAGTGGGAGGAACCAAACCCAGCCCTACCTTCCTCATAGAACTGTTCTTTAGTGGGGAGACACCTTCATCAAATATTCTTAAGAAATAAATGTGCCATTACCAATGGAACATGAGCACTGTGAGGGAAAGGAACCAGGTGACCAAAAGTTCACCAGATGCAACTGACCTAGTTTGGGATGGACACAGGGTCCATTTAGCCTGGAAAAGTGAATTTTCTTTTTTTTTGTTTTATTGATTTTAGAGAGAAAGGAAGGGAGAGGGAGAGAGAAAAACACTGATGAGAGAACATCGATTGGCTGCCTCCTGCATGCCCCCCACTGGGGATCAGGCCCACAACCTGGCCATGTGCCCTGACCAGGAATCGAACTGGCAACCTCTTGGTGCATGGATTGACGCTCTACCACTGAGCCACACCAGCCAGGCTGGAAAAGTAAATTTTCAGAGTGAGTGTTCACTACTTATAGGAATACTTTGAGCTATCATATGAAAGGAGAACAGCACTTGTGAAAATCCCAAGGTGCACATTAGAAGGCCTTCATTGGAAAACTGTAGGGAGACTCAATTTATGAAAGAATTGTTTGAAAGATTAATTCAATGAGGGCTTTCCTCTGTGCACAACTGCTGCACTCCTATACATAGCATTTACACATCAATTCATCCATTCCTCAAGGCAATCTCATGAGGATAATCATCCCTGGAACATGCCCCACCCCCACAAGCCCACATCCTTGCCTAGCTCGGATGCACCAATTTACAAATAATTTCCATATTGAGTTATGTACTTACTACCTTTGAGGTGATGATTGTTATAAATATATGCTCCCTAGTATAAAGTGGCACATAGAGAATGCTCATAGGTGGAATAATGTTCATGTTATAGCAAAAAACCATGTTGTGAGGCAGACTAGTACTATGGCTAAGAGTTAAGGGCATAAGAGCTGGCCTGCCTGGGTTCAACCCAGGTTCCACTATTTAAAACTTCTGTGACCTTAGGCAAGCCAAATGACCCTTAAATCTCAGTTTATCTGTAAAATGCCAGTAATGACGTGTATGTTTGTTGTGAGGATTAAATTGAATGATCTATATAAAAACAATAAGTTATGTTCGGCACATAGTAAGTACTCAGCTATCAGCCAATATTAGTTATTGCGTACTATATTACTAGTGTATGGGGGATATTGCTTCCCCCATGTAAAAATGAAGTCCAGAAGATACTGCGCTGATCCTGATGGATTTTATCAAATATAAAGTAAATTTTTAAAAATTTTAAGTGAAAGATGACTCTTTCTATAACATGACCTATAGTTAATTACACTAATAACACTTGTATCTTTTTTACAGTGGGAAATAGTCATCCAAGGGTAAAGACAACTTACTGTTAGTGATACATGAATCTAATTCTAACTGTTTATTATTCTTATTAAGAGAATTTTAGTTGATTTTACCCATGGTTTGGAGGCACCTAACCTAATACCTAATCTTGCATAAAAATATTCAGTAAATGTAACATTTACAATTAAATGTTCATAAAATAGCTGTCACTTATAATAGAGTGCCTATTCTGTACCAGGCATTGGAGTAGAGATTGCCTAGGTCATCTCATTTAAGTTTAACCTCACAACCCTAAAGAAAACAAGACAAATCGCACTTGTTGGTCTTAATTTGAGAATACAATTCAAAAAGAAATCACTTGAAAATACACATTTGTGTTAATTCACTGTGATCTGTGTGCTGTCTTGTATGCTATATTTCAATAAAAAGGTTTAAGGGACCAGGGGCAGATAACTTGAAGTGGCCACTGTACAAATTATCTGTGAAGGGATGAAATGTGATGAGAAGGCTTTGCTGAGGTGCTTGTTTATACCAAGATGGGGTAGATTTTTACTTCTTCCAAAATAGTGACATGCAATTTCTTCCCATTTCAACACAAACAGGATGTGTTGTTGAGATTTTACCTGAATATTCAAAAACCAGTTATGGGTGAAGATGAATTATTATTTTTATTTAACCTTAATGGAAAGCTTATAATATTTAGAGTTCATTTACTTTCTTTGATGTATAGTTACTACAACATTTTGCCCTCTTGACAGGCTGCGTGAGGAGAAAATTAAGGAAAAACAAAGATACCAGGAAGAAAGGCTAAAAGCTGCTCTGGAAAGAGCAGTAGCACAACCAAAGAAAAAGGTTTGTTTGTTTTTGTTATTAACAGGTCCAGCTACATCAACATGTGAGTGCTTCTGTGGTATAAAAACAAAACACCTAATTTTAATTTATGCAGCTTAAACTTCGGTAAAATCTTTCTTGCTCAGTTTCAATTGGTTTCTCTCCGGTTCCTTGTTACGTTTAGAATTCAAATTATCGGGTAACAGTTCTCCATTAAGTCTACTTTTTAGTAAAAGAAAACTTGCCCCTTTGTCTTTTTCTTTTGCTCCAGCTTCATGAAACCAGAGAATTATTTTAAAAACTAATTTCCTGAATAGGTAGTACAAGTATATAGTTCAAAGTTCAAAAGATACGAAAGAGTATTCAGTGAAAACTGTCATGCTCAGTTCCCCTCCCTGGAGACCACCGCTAAAAGTTCCATCTGCGGAAGATCCTATTTATTTGTGTATATTCTTCTTGTTACAAATGGTAGCTGTGAACCTTGCTCCTTTCTCTTTAACAATGGAGATAGTGAACCCAAAGAATTACATATAATTCAAAGGGTTTTCTAACCTGCACATAATAAAAATGAGAGCAGTAGTTGAAGTTAAAATGATATACCCCGTGCCACTTCAGATTTAGAAGACATATCGGGACCAGAAGCCAAGGTTCTTTGTATTGCAAGATCGCTTGTAATGAGAAGTGTGGGATTTGGGAAGTCACTGAGAGCTCATGGTCCATGCCTCCATCTGGGTGTAGGCCTTTGCTTCCATATGCTACTCTCCCTCCTCTAGGTTAGGGTCTGAAATATACTCTAGGAACCCAATTTCGTGGCTATCTACAAAACTAACGTGGACATTGATTCTTAACATAGTAATAGCTAACCCATAGTAAATGCTTATTGTGCACCTCACAAGCAGCCTTTTGAGGTAAGGGGTTGAAAAAAGCCCCCCAATATGGTCATTGTAAATATGCATATCAAAAGGTAATGACTACCTTAAATTATTATTATTTATTTTTTATCCTCACCCGAGGACATTTTTGCATGTATCTTCAGATGGAGTGGGAGGGAGAGAGGGAGGAAAAGAAACATCGACATGAGAGAGACACATCCAGTGGTCGCCATCCACACATCCCCAACTGGGCGCAGGGACAAACCGAAACCGAGGTACATGCCCTTAGTGGGAACTGAACCTGGGACTCTCCAGTCCGTGGGCTGACTAACCGCTGAGCCAAACCGGCGAGAGCTACTACCTTAAATTATTTTATTTAAGTAAGCATTTAAAGACAGTCTGTACTTCTCTAGTTCACCTCTTCCTATGAACACCTGACTTGTCCTCTTCCTCCCAAGGGAGAATTAACCATTCATCACTCTCCCAAGTGAATATACTCTCACTAACTCCACAAAATTAAAATGATTATTTAAAAATATATCTTTCTCTCTAGATAGCCAGTCGATGTCTGTCTCTGTCTCTCTCCCTCCCTCCCACTCTATCTGAAGATAAATGAAAAAATATCCTCAGGGGAGGATAAGAAAAAAAAAAAAAAAGAACAGGATTTTTAAAAATGTCAGTCAACTGGTGCTCAGTAGAAGAAAGTGATCTCTTGAACCAATGGAAGAAAAACTATGGCACTTCTGAGAAATGAAATATCAGCCTCAAATATGGTTCTTTTTTTTACCATGTCTGAAACATAACACTATACAGTGACTTTACCTTAACCTCCCCACTTATAAACCTTAACTGCTTTGTCTTCAGCACATTATGGCGTTCCATTTGTTACTTAACTTTGCCTAACATGTTTGATATCCATTAAATTATCAACCCCTTTGTTAACTATTTACTATTTTAAACCGTATTATTCCTTGGAAAAATCAAGTTAATGTTAGTATTTTACTCATACGTCAATAGAAAAAGGTTATGCTAAAGAATATTATTGTTTCTTTTGTTTCAGGTGGGAAGACGACTTGTCTATCGTTCAAAACCTTCATCTGATAACAAACAACTCTTTTTAGTCAAGGATACAAGAACAAAATCATTAGAGACTGAATATTTTTTCACTTGAATAGGAGCAGTAAGTCATTTATTACCAGAATGTTTTAGACATATTTTTTAGGTTTTGGTTTACAGTAATGGCAATATTCTGCCCCATATGCTTGCCTAACCAATCTGAGGAAGACATGCCCTGTTCTAAAGATTATAGGATTGGAAATGGGAGTTATTTTCTTTTTCTTGAAGGCTTTTTATCACCCATAGCCTAAATATCAGTCTAAACATTATATATCTATACTTTGAGTTGTCCCAGTTGGGGATACACATTCAAGGTTGCTTTATGAATGTATATGGTCAATGACCATTCAATTACAATAGTGGCATTCTCTGAGAACCTGAGGCTTTAAATTATCTCCCCCTCCCCCCCCCAACCAGTCCACAGGAAAGTTCATACCTTTTATCACTGTGGAGTATACATTGTGACAAAGCTAAAAAATCTTAAGGGTTTTGAGTAAAACATGAATGAAAACCACTAGGCTATGTTCTCAGAACCTAAAGGTGAGACTGGTTTTTATGTTAAGAAGTATTATTCAGAAACTAAATTCTCCTAAGTGAACAAACCATGCCTTCAACTTAAATGTTACTTCACAATTTCTGTTGTTCTCAATACCCACAATTATTTTCATTTTCAGCTGATGTTTCATTTTAGCTATGTGTATATTATTTAAGCTTACACTGTAATTTGTAATTTGTCCATCACTAAGTGAAATAATATATATTGATTCTAAAAAAATATTTCACTTTATACATGTCAAAAGTAGCTCAAAAATAACTTTAAAAGAAGCAGTTGCTTTTAAAAGGTCTCAGTTAATATATGATAATAAGAGCTGAAGTTCACCTTCAAAAATGTTTATAAAGCATATAAGTTTCCCTTACAGAAAAAAATAAGATTAGGCTTACAAAAGAAAATTCAATAACCTGAAGTTGGGCGGCTTTTAAAGCATTACTTCTGTGAATAATTTTTCAATTGTTTCAACATTAAATTTTGCATGTAAATATCTGAATATGAATAGTTCAGAAGTCAAGTTGAAAAAACAAATTTTTATTGTCTAGAAATATATAAAAAAAAATTCCCACAAAAGATGCTATTCTCTCATTTCTCCGTCTTCTTCCTCTTCTTCAACACCCCTGATATAAAGGACATTATTACACCTGTAAATAGAAAAACAGTCCATTTTGTTGTTCCAAATGGAAACCATATATCTGATTTACAATTACTAGATTTTTTTCGTTATAAAAATACTGAATACTAAATTTGCACTATAGCATTTTTTCCTTTCTCTTTTTAAAAAAAGTTTTCACCACTGATTTTTAAAAAGCACATGGCATTTATTTTCTTACCATGTAGTATAAAATAGTATTTTTAAGATCTTCCAAAGGGAATAATGACTATTTGAAGGTATAAAGTGAGTTCTAGAAAATGAGTATAACAAATATCCCCAACAGCAGTCAGACCCAACTAAAATTCAAAACCAAGCTCCTACAATTAAAACCACTAAAAAACGTTAGAGTTAAGAGCTAACAAGTTTAATATCAACTCTAGAAAAATCATAAGGATAAATAGCTCCAAAATACTTAAATCTCTGACAAGTTTAACAATTTCAAAGACTCTTGAAGTCTAGTTGTAGAATATTATGATAAATTAATAGTGATTTTAAAAAGTAATTCTGAAACTGAGGCACTAAATTCGTTTATTTAAACAGGTATTTCTAACGCTCACCAGTAACTCCTTACATATACGAATACTGTTTTGTTACCTTATTAAAACTTCACCCAGGTGTCCAGACAAGGCTCCATCTATGTATTCTTCTGTATTTGCAAGCTTTAAATAAAAAGAAAATAAATATATTGATATAATAAAGTAAAACACACCTAATACTGGTGAGATAATTTATTAACTGAGACCTTTCTATACCAACAACTCATATATATCTATAATTAATATAAGATTAGTTTTCCATTACTATTGCAGTATTTTGGGTTTCATATAAATATTTGGTAAAGTTAACATTGATGAATGTAGAATTAATATATAATAAAGCTTGTTTCAACATAATTTTTTACATCTCTCAGTTGTGTAGTATTTCTTTCTTCTAGACATTAAAACATGTGGAGGAAGGCAATCTCCCAATTTATAAGTTGACTAAAAAGTTTTCTGATGCCCTGGCCGGTTTGGCTCAGTGGTTAGAGCGTCGGCCCACGGACCAGAGTCACGGGTTCAATTCCAGTCACGGGCTTGTACCTTGGTTGCAGTTCGGTCCCTGGTCTTGGTTGGGGTCATGCAGGAGACAACCTAATGATGTGTCTCTCTCACATTGATGTCTTTCTCTTTCTCTCTCTTTCTCCCTCCTTCCAACCACTCTATCTGAAGATAAATGGAAAAATATCCTCGTGTGAGGATTAAAAAAAAAGTTTTCTGAAAATTCAATTCCAAAGAAGCAGACATTAACTTCTCTTGCAATAATAACTTTATACTATAGTAGCATACTGAGGAACCCAACGGGTGTACAAAAGTTATGGCTAAAATACTTTCATATTAGTCACCAACCAAACCAAAGAACTGATAAGATTTAAAAAAAAATAATGTGCTACTAAACAGGAATAAACAAGTTCTTAAAAAGAGATTAAACAATAAAGAGTAACTTTACAAACTTCCAGTTATAAAATAAATAAATCATAAGAATATAATGTATAGTACAGGGAATGTATAGTAGTCAGTAATATAATAACTTTGTACAGTGATAGATGCTTACTACTCATGGTGGTGATCACTCCATAAGGGGTGTGTGTGTCCGTGTGTCTAAAATATATAATCACTATGTTATATGCCTAAAACTAAATATTGAATCAACTATACTTTAATTTTAAAAAAACTCATTAAAAATTTTTGACCCAAGCCCAGCTGGTATGGTTCAGTGGTTGAGCGTCGACCCCATGCACATAGAGGTCACTGGTTTGATTCCAGATCAGGGCACATGCCCAGGTTGTGGGCCCAATACCCAGTGAAGGGCATGCAGGAGGTAGCCAATCGATGTTCTCTCTCATTGATGTTTCTATCTCTCTCCCTCTCCGTTCCTCTCTCTATAAAATCAAGAAAGAAAAAAAGTTAAAAAAAATATTTGACCCATAACACCTTAAGAATTGGGATTTGATATTCATTCATAAATATTTAAATTCAACATATTCTTCACTAAATTGTGGCTGGTGGGTTACAAACCTACTATGTGATAAACATTTATTTACAAAGGGGATCTCTTAGGGACCTGAAGTTTGATGAAACCCTTCATGTTTCAAATGTTAAACGTTTAAGTTTTTTCAAAAGTAACCTTTATAGTTTGGGAACTATATTACTTCTAATTCTATATCAACATGTTTAGCTTTCTTTTTTTTACATATAGAAATACACTTTACTTTTAGTTTTTAAAAATCACAATCCATGCTATTTCGGACTTACACACGAAAAAATGAGGAGGAAAGAGAGGGAAGTTTCTTTCATTAGCTGGGCAAGTGGCAAAGGGAAAGAAATATAGGACATATAGAAGATGTGAGGTGAGGCATGAAAACATGTTAATGAACACTGCTACTGGATGTTATTTCCTCTTCCACAGAAAACAAAAAGTAACCTTCTATACCCAGAGAGGTTTTGTCTGAAGTACATGTGGTTGTTGAGACAATTAGTTTTGTGTGTAACAGCTCTCAGTAATAATGTATTAATAGCAACTAATTTTTGGTTAAAAGTGATTTTTTGGCAGATATTTAACATTTAACGGGTTTCCAAATTACACAATGCTGCAAAGCATTCTAACACATTTTAAATAAAATTTAAAGTCACTTTAAAAGCCCTCTTTGACTACCATTTCAACCTTTCTATCATTCTTCCCCTAAATTCACTCAACTCTGGCTTTCTTGCTATTTTGTACACACTAACCATGTTCCTGTCACAATGCTTTCCTCTTGCTGTTTCTCTCAAAATGGGATGCTCTCTCTCCAGCTGCTCACTCAGTTCTGGTCTCTGCTTATTTACTTCATGAGAGGCCTTCCTTGGTTATCCTATCCAACACTGCACACTGCTGTCACTCTGTTCTGTTTCTGCTTTCTTTTTCTCCACTGTACCTATCATTACCTGATACCACATCATATTATACTACCATCTCCCACCACTAAAACAAATTCCTTGAGGATAGGGACTTTGTTTCGTTCACTGGGGTATTCATTCACAGGGCCAGGCACATAATGGGCACTCAATAAATATATGCTGAGTGGACAAACTCCGCCATCATCAATGTGGTTACTTCAAAACTGGCAAGCTCACTAGGAAGTTACATTACTTTTAAAACCAAATATTCAGTGGGTTTTCTTTATTCCTTTCTTTTATTGAGGTATAATTCCCACAACATAAAATTCACTTTTAAAGTATGTAAGTCACCAGTTTTGCCTATATTCATAAAGTTGTATAACAATTACCACTATCTAAGCCTGAAACATTTTCAGGACAAAAGATATGCTCTTCAGATTTTTCTATGGCCTTGGTAAATGATTCCCACACAGGGAATTTTCCAGGCCAAAACCATGCTCTGTAACACTGGTTCTCAACCTTCCTAATGCTGCGACCCTTTAATAAAGTTCCTCATGTTATGGTGACCCCAACCATAAAATTATTTTCGATGCTACTTCATAACTGTAATTTTGCTACTGTTATGTCTTAGGCAACCCCTGTGAAAGGGTCATTTGACCCCCAAAGGGGTCATGACCCACAGGTTGAGAACCGCTGCTCTGTAAGAATTTTGGGGACCTGAGTGTCATATGTTCAGGTGGAAAACAGTATGGCAGTTCCTCAAAAAATTAAAGAAAGAATTACTGTATGATCCAGTAATTTCATTTCTGGATATAAACCCAAAACAACTGAAAGTGGAGACTCTAGCAGACATTTGTCCAGTCATGTTTATTGCATTATTCACAATAGTCAAAAGGTGGAAACAATTCAAATGTCCACCAACAGAAGAATGGATTAAAATGCAGAACATACATACAACGGATTATTTCAGCCATAAAAAGGAATGAAATTCTGATACATGCTACATACACCATGAAAGAGCTTTGAAAACATTCTGCTAAGTAAAATAAGCCAAAGGACAAACACTATAGAATTCTATTTATATGAGGTACCTATAATAGAGACAGAAAGAATAGCATTTACGAAGGACTGGAGGCAAGGGAAATGGAGAATTATTTTTTAATGGGTACATAATTTCACTTTGGGATGACAAAAAATTTGGGAAATTGATAAGGGGGATGGCTGAACAACAATGTGAATGTACTTAATGTCACTGAGTTGTACACTTGAAAATGGTTCAAGTAGTACATTTTATGTTATCACAATTAAAAAAATAAACTGGCTGAAACATTTACAGAACCTAGTAACACATGCAGTCAGTTGATCAATTCATTTGGCTGATACGTCTTCTCCCTCAAGAAATTTTTTTATGGAATTACTCTGATGATGTGTGTTTAGCATTCATTAAAACACAAAAATTTCACTTGAAAAATTTCTTTCGAGCTAAGTGCCAGTGAAGGTTTTTCTTTTTCCATGAACTATTGTTTCCCTCTGGCATTTGAATCAAATGTCTGAGCTCCTTTTACTTTAACAACTATGCACCAAATTTGTGGCTGCATTTTGGTTTAACATATTTCATACGTAGTTTATCAGTTGATAACATCCTCCCTGACCTTGACTTTTTTCCTGAATTTTTGTCAATTTATTTAATTGCATTCACATAAGTTATGCTAAACCTTACAGAAGTAGGGTAAAGAAAAATAAATACAATTTAATGTGTTTTTAAATAATTCTTTAGCTTACCTGCATGTTCATATAGCCATCTACAGATACCAGGTAGCCTTTGTACTCCATTCCCCACTTAAGTTTCACCATTACTGGCTTCCCTGTTAATCCGTTGAGGAAAGGTTTGGGATTGAGGGGCAAACTCTGCACAAAGAACAACAACAATAAAACAATTCAATCAATTATTTTCTAGAGCTCAGCTCCCACCACCCCTGCTACCAAGTCACCAATATTTTATGGAATCCAAAAGACGCAAACTCTTGACTCCCTCGCACAAAAATTTCACTATCATTTGTTCAAGAGCATTAGAGAAGTTTACCCAGTTAGCCAATTTCTTCTTCAACCCATCAAAACGTATAAAAGCAGTCAGTATTCCCTTAAGAAACACTGAATAGCTATTAAACATCACTCACTGTTCCAGGTTATAAAGAAACAAAGGTAAAGGCAGTTTTTTAAAAATGCAGGTGACAGTCCCTGTCCTCAAGAAGCTCACAATGGGAGGAGGAAGGGCAACACACACAAGCAAACCATTATGTTGCAGTGTAGTAAGAGGAGACATGCTATGCACAAGGGTACCAAACCAACCCAGTGTTAAAAGAAAAGGAAAGGTTGCCTGAAATAAGTAATACTTTCGTTTGAAAGGATGAGATATTTGCTGGGCAAGAACAGCTATTCTAGGTCGAGGCTACCTATGTAACCAGAGGGAAGAACAAAGCTGTGATCTCAGGGACACCCAACAATGCAGCACTGTCAGAATCCCAAATACAAGGCTACAGAATGAAGCAGGGGAAGATCACACCTGACAGTCTTTTGCTTGAATTCTAGGAGCCAGGGGCGGATCAGATCGTACTTGGCAGTAGCTCTTCCACATGAGCTATCACTTACTGTTAGTTCATTCGGCACAGCAGTATTATCCCCAGTAATGTACACTTTTTCTCCTTCCTTCATATGCTCTCCCCTCAGCCCAAAGAAAGAAAAGAACCAAGAAACCTAGCTACTAACCCTCTGTAAGATAAGCACATTCAGAGGGATCTCAAAGGACACGGGGACTACTGCAATAACCTCCTAATGGTCTCGTTTACATTCTTCTCTTCCCCCAACTATCCACACAGCAACTGTTATTTGTATCAGGTCATAGTTCTGCTTAAAATGCTTCTATGGCTCCCAACTGCAGCTAGAGTAGGATCCAGACCTCCTAACGTGGCCTGAGAGGTCTAGCCGGACCTATCTCATAACCACTACTCTTGCAAGAAACTGTGGCTTTCTGTTCATTCCTCCAAGTGGCGGAACCTCATTTCTGGCCTTAGGGCCAATGCTCGTGTTCCCTGAGCTTGGTGCATTCTTCCTCCTGCTGGTTAAGGGGCTGCATTTCATATCATTTAGGTTTCAGGTTAAATCTCTCCCCTTCCAAGAAAACCATCCCTGACCATTGTTCTACTGTACCACGGCGTCCCATCACAGCCTCCTGCTGGCTTTCTTCTTAGCAATGATCATTATTTGATTAATGTCTGCCTCCCGCGCCCGGCAGAGTGAACCTAGACCGGGGTCCGCATCCATACTCTTCACCTTACATTCCTACCGCCTAGCACAGTAGCTGGCAGGTGGCAAGCACTCGGCGGTATTTGCTGGACGAACCAATGAATGCTCCGCAGCCTGGGCTCTGGGCTCCAGACCGCTGCGGACTGCGAGGCCCAACGTGGGACGTGAAAACCCTCTTCGTCTTCACCTGACCCGGCGGCCCCAGCCAGCAGGGCAGGCTCAGGCTCAGGTTCAAAACGAAGCGGGGGGGGAAGGGAGCAGGGGCACTCCTGGGTAGCGCGGGGGGCACGCGAGCCTCGGGTCTCCGGAGAGGGCCGCCGACAGGGTGCGCAGCGCCTCAAGCGATGAATGGAAAAGGCGCGAACCAACCACCAGGCCCAGCGACGCTGGGCACCTCCGCTCTCTCTCTCCCTCCCTCCTTCCCACCCTCACTTTCTCTGGAGACTCCATCCCTTCTTTCCCTCCTTACCATCACGACGACGAGCAAATGCTGCAGGCTACTCGCCGCCGAACCAGCAGTCGTCCGCCCCTCGTGAATGGAGCACCCACAGCAAAGCCCGGACGGCGGAGCTTCAAGAGAAATGGCGGCCAAAAAGCGTGACCTTTTACCTCTGACCACAGCTCTTCCGCCTCGATGATTGGACGCAAAGAGGTATGTGCTGATTGGAGGAAGTGGGGCAGGGTATCCTGGCAACCAGCAAAGCTGTGCGCTACTGTTCCTTCCTCGCCGCGCGTGGGCCTGTGGGATGCCTCCGCCACTAGACTCACGAGGCTCGCGGCGAGGCTGCGAGGACCGTGAGGCCGTTCTGGTCGGCTCGCCCGCCTCGAGGGTGTGCTGAGAGAGGCCGTGTGCCTTGTAGAGCGTCCGTGATTTCTCGAGAACGTGGCTAGTGGGGGTTTCCTTTGTCCTTTCACACCTGGAGAGCGAGTTCGGCGCTCTCGAGTTTCTTCCTCGCTTTCCCACAGAGTCTGTGGTTTGGTGGCTCCTCTGCTACCGTCCCTTCTACCTGACTGCTCGGTTGTGTGGTGCGCATTTCGACCCACTTTAAAAGGTGTGGGAGAAGCAAAACCCAGGGAGGTGAAGCGCACCGAAGGAAGTCAAGTACAGAATATATTTCAGAGGAGGTCAAACAGCGTGGAGTAGGTGGGGCGGGCTCCCTGTCGTCCTGTGCACTGCGGGCGGGGGCCGGCACAGCCGTCCTGCGTGCACGGTGTTTACGCTGAAGGATGTGGGGTCGTGGACGCCGTCGGGACTAATCCTTGGCAGCGTCGTGGTGTTCCTGATCAGAATCGCACCTGTTGTCGCCCGTTCGGGCTTTCAGCTAAATGCAGTTCTTGGAGAACACGTACTTTGAGTAGTACTGTTTTTTGGTTTTGTTGTTGCAGCCCGGGGGAGATGAACTTGGACGTTAGGTTTAAACGCTGTGTGTTGAGGCATTGTGGAGGCGTGGTTAAGGCTTTGGAGGCAGCCTGAATGCAGAACCCCCTCCTTCGCTTGGAGATTGTTTTCTCAGCTGTAAGTGGCTTTAAAAGCTATCCACAGTGTGGTGAGGATTAAATAATCAATGCGAAGAGATTAGGATTGTGGTCGGCCATGTAGGGGCTCTGTAGATCTTAACTATAATTTTAATGTTGTCCATGTAAATGTTGGAGAAGTCTGGCAAAATACAGCAATTTTTGGTATAGTTTATGCCAAACAGTTGGAATTATTTTCCACAAAATTCAGAGGGTTTCTCCCTTAGTTCCAGGAGCATTCAATGGATATTAAGCCTTTGTACAGGCTTTGAGTTCCTATAATGTGCCAGGTTTCTTCACAGTTGTTATCATGGAAATCGTACCACACAGACCAATTTAGTAGTTATAGCCCCATTTTTTGAAATGAGAAACAGGCTGAGCAGGTAACTTGTGCAGGGCCACACAGCTGGGTTTCAACCCCAAAACACTGCTTTTTCTACTTTATAAAGCTAACTTTCAAAAGCTTAATATATAGTTTAGAAGTTTTATTTAGAATACTTTTTACATTTTTCATTGAATTTATTGGGCTGACATTGGTTAATAAATTATATAGTAATTCAGGAGTATAATTCTATAATACATCATCTGTATATCGTATAGTGTTCACCACCCCAAGTCCAGTCTCCTTACTTCTCCATGTATCCCCCCTTTACCCTCTTTTACCTCCCCCCACCCTCTTTTCTCTCTGGTAATCAACATACTGTTGTCTGTGTCTTTGAGGGGTTTTTTTGTTTGTTTATTTTGCTTAATCCCTTCATGCCCTTTTTCATCCAGCTCCCCAACCCCGCTCCCTTCTTGACAGCTGTCAGTCTGTTCTCTGTATCTATGAGTCTGCTTCTATTTTCTTAGTTTATTTTGTTCATTAGATTCCACATATAAGCAAAATCACATGGTATTTGTAGAAGACCTATTTTTATATATATTTTAGAATACTCACTTTTTTAGCTGTTATTTTTTTTAGTGAAGGAAAACAAAATATTACTGTAATCTATGTTTTTAAAAAATGACAATACTGAAGCTGTCCTACTTCAGGCACATAATGAAAGGCAGGGTTCTTTGAAAAAGACAATAATGCTGGGAAAAAATAGAAGGCAGCAGGAAAAGAGGAAGACCAAATATGAGATGAATTGACTCCATAAAAGAAGCCAGAACTGAATGGCTATTGAGGACAGGACACTGCACTCATTCAGAGTGTCCAGAAGTCAGTCAGGTTTATTCATACCAAGTTAGTTCTAGCAATTATCAGGCTATTGTATTTGTAGTTGCTGCAGTTCTGAAAACAAAACATTTTAAACATTATACTTGGTACCACAGATATTCAGTCAAGTCCCTGGACCTCTCCCAGGCCTTAGTTTTGTACTAGTCAAATTAAGGGATTAAAATCGATTATCTTAAGGCCCTTTCTAGCTTTAATATACTACTATTCTCTGATATTCTAAATTAATAAGTGGGAAAAATGAAGATTAAAATAAAGAATATCCCTTGCAGTGTAACTATGCTTTCAATTACAGAGTTCATTATAATTTATTATTAATTGTTATTAATACATATTAATTATCTTCTAAATAATGGACAGAATAGTTTTTCATCTTAGGTAAATAAGCTTCTTGTAGATTAAAACTTCCAGTTTTCCATGTATGTTGAGAACTCTAGGCAGTAAAATATAATTATTGAAACAGTACACTGTAAAATGAGATTTTGCAGTGATGTTAATACTTTTCTCTTTTCTCAGAGTACAATAGAGCAATTATAAGTGTGATGAATTAAGAAGGGAAACCAAAACTGGTTCTGTTTCTGTCTGACTATAGATAACAGGTTAGGTTATATTACTGACAATGAAAAATGTAAAATTTATCAGCAGAAAATACTTTTATTCATTGCATAATTCATTTATTCATAATTATTTAGACTCAATAAAAGTTTTCTTCTCCCTGTAGGTGCATATTCTGTTTGGGGGAAAGTCTAGACTGTTCTTGGAGCTATATAATGATAATAATACTAGCAGTAGCAGCATCTTATAGCTGCCATTTATTGAGCAGTTATATGCCAGTCCTTTACATAAATTATCCCATTTAATACTTACAGCAGTTTTGTGAAGTAGGTATTCGTTAGAGTTGCTAAGTAACTTGCTCAAAGTCCCACAAGGAATAAGCCTTCGCGCCAGGATCTGTCTTTCTCCAAACTTGGCTCCTTTAACTCTTCTAGTCCAAACTGTAAGGACCTCAGGGAAAACAAACAAAACATCTTAATTCCACTCATAGTTTATAGCTTCAGTAAGACAGTGAAATTCCTATACTGCAGACTAAGTATGAATTATTTTGAGAGATGTGACTGTCAACTTAATTACCCATACATATGACCTTATGTATAATGTCAGATTCCATCTCTGAATCAGGTTTTGGTGTGTGGTCAAAGTAAAGATCACTCATATTGGAATGTCTGCTATGCTTTATTTCGTTCTCTCTGTATAAGCAGATGACACACAGACAGCTCCTGGGAGTTTAAATTAGAGGAAGACTTTCTTAGATTCTTACAAACCTACCTCCTCTTTTGAATGGTAGTCCTTCATAGTCTTGCTTAAACAGACCTTTTCCCATGGCCCCCTGCTGATTCTGAATGACCGGTTTCTCAGTCCCCTGCCCCCCCCCCCCCAATGGTGAATATAATGCTTATCCTCATCTTTACTTTTTACTGACAGCCTTCATAATAACCTGCTTAGAAGACAAATGGCATGGAAGAATCTCTGACAACTGATTAAGGAAGAATACAGTAGATTCCTGACAAATATCCCTACCATTTAAATGTGAACGAACAGCATTTTTTGGTCATGATGGAAGAAGGAAAGGATGATGCTAAGAACTATTACCTTCTGTCAAAAGCAGCATACTATTTTTAGAGAGGATTTAATGAAGTCAATATATAGGTTATGCATAGCATTTTGCCTTTGCACATGCTATTCCCTCTGCTTGGAATGCCTTTCTTTCCCTTCTCTGCCTACTTTTCCAGAGCCAGCCCAAATGATACATTTAAATATGACCCCTTCCCCGACTCCCATGGCATCACTCCTTCCTCTAGACTCTGACAACATTTTTTTTTCCTGACTCTGATATAGCAATTAACATGTTGCAGTATAGTCTGCATAATTATTTGCTGGTCTTGACTCAACTAGAAGCTTCTTGAACACAGGGACCATAGTGTGCTTATTTATTTTTGCATCCCCTGCACCCAGAACAGTGCCTAGCACAGAGTAGGTGCTGGGTTACTGGTTGTTAAATGACTTTCTTGCCATAGTATGAGGTTTTTCTTGTTGGGATCCACATCTACTTAGAGTATGATTATTGTGGTCATGGAAACTATTGACAAGTCCCAGCTCTGTTAATTCCTGGACATGCAGCCTTTCTGTTTCCCCATTAAGTAAAGTGGGGGTTGTAATGACACCTACCTCATGGAAGTAAGTTCCTGTACATGTTTTCAGTTTTTTTTCCATACTTACAGATCTATTCAGGTTTTCTGCTGTTTATTCTTGAATCAATTAATGTAATTTATAATTTCCTCAGAATCATTCATATCTTGTTTTAATTTATTTTCACAAAGCAATAAATAGTCTTCTATTTGTTGATTTCCTCTATACATCTGGTTATATCACACTCCTAATTTGTATATCTATGTGCTCTCCTGTCTCTCTTTTTTTTTTCTAGAAAGAAGTATGTTAAAATACTAATAGTCACTTTCTCTGGTGGTGAGATTATGGGTTATTTTTATATTTTCCTGTTTTGTTTTGTTTTCAAATGTTTAAATATACATATATATTTATATTACTTACATATTCACAAAAATACTTAAGTAAAAATATATTTCTTTATTTCCAAGTAAGGAAACTGAGGCCAGAAACATTACAAAGGTAGATCATGGCCTTATATTGAAACCAGGAAAGTTGTACTGGTTCTGGCACTTTTTGCTATAAGGTAAGAACCATGAAAACCACCATGAAGTCTCTCGTTCTCATCTGGTATAAAAAAACTGAACCACTAAAGCATCTCAGTTTCTCTTGTTATTATGTAAAGGTGAAGATGGTTAGAGT